TGGAAATTATAGACCGATATCAGTTTTGCCGGCCATTAGCAAAATTATGGAACGAATTCTATATCATCAACTGTATGACTATTTAACAAAATTTGAACTTCTTAGTGATTCTCAATTTGGTTTTAGAAAATTTCACTCCACAGCTACTGCATTACTGGACTGTACCAATGATTGGTATGTGAATCTAGACAGAAAAATGTTTAACCTAGTAGTTTTAATTGATTTATAAAAAGCATTTGATACTATTGATCATCAAATTCTATTGAGGAAGTTAGAGCTATATGGAATAAAAGGACAAGCTCTAACTTTGCTCAAATCTTATCTCACAAACCGAAAACAGAAATGTCAAATAAAAAACTCCTTTTCATCTGAGCGATTGATTAAATGTGGCGTACCACAATGCTCTATTTTGGGGCCTCTATTCTTTTTGCTGTATGTAAATGATTTACCTCAATGTCTAAATAAAACAAAACCTCGGTTGTTTGCCGACGACACAAATCTGACAGCTTCGGGAGATTCTATAACTGATCTTGAGGTTGCAGTTATTTCTGATTTAGAAAACCTTAGAAAATGGTTAATTGCTAATAAAATTAACCTTAATGTAGCCAAGACCGAATTCATGTTAATTGGTTCAAAACAAAAGATCCCTAATTCTCTTCCGAATATTGTCATTGAAAATAAACAAATTAAACGAGTTTATGAATGCAAAACTCTTGGAGTAACAGTTGACCAGCATTTATCTTGGAAAAGTAAAACAGAAAATATTTGCAAAAAAATAACAGCATGAATCTCTGCCATCCGTCGAGTCAAACCTTTTGTTGACAAAGAAACACTTATTTCCATATATAACGCTATTGTTCGCCCATACTTCGATTACTGCTGTGAAGTATGGGATGTGTTTGGCGAAACACAATCAAAACGACTTCAAAAACTTCAAAACAGAGCTGCCAGAATTACCTTGAATATGAGTAATGACGTAAATCATTCTATTGCTTTGTGTGAATTGGGTTGGGAACCACTCAAAACATTAAGGAAGAAAGCTAAAGCAAAAATGATGTGCAAAGTATTAAATAAAATGGGTCCCAAATAACTCACAAATCTATGTTCTTATAAATGTGAGAAAACAAACTATCACCTTCGGGACATTTCAACTGGTCTTTGTTTACCAAAACCTCGTTCTAATAACATGAAAAATAGTTTCATGTACAACGGAGCTAAACTTTGGAATTCTATTCCAAAAGAAATTAGGGAAACAAATCACATTCTTCCTTTCGAAATAAAATAGCTGCTTACATTTATGAATAAGTATTGTAAATAATGTGCCTGTAAATAGTCTGCCAACTTTCTCATTAGACATTAATATGTTACTATTTTACTACTCATTAATGTGTTATTCTATATCTCTTAAAACTTTTGTAAATAGCTCTATAGCTATCACTTTCCTGGACATGTAAAATTCTTATTCAACTTTTTGGCACACACCCCTCGTGGAAATCAGTTCCGGTTGACGGGGTCAGCGTGTATAAATAAAAGTTCTATCTATCTATCTATCTAATTGATTTCGTAGATCTTCACGAGGGGTGAAGGCGGACCATACTGTGAAGTAATGTGTAATAGGTAGGTTTTTTGCTATGCTAAAAGTAGGCTTGTGTATGGTATGAGGGATGGCGGTCGTGCATTTAAAGTTAAGTTACAGGGCAATAGTCTATTTGTATGTAATGCAATCTACAAAGGCGTATTTCACATGCAGGATCGGTCACAAATTCCACCATATGCATGCTGTAAGGATGATAATTACGAAACAGGCTATTTAGACTGGGACATTATGGCATTCGTATTGTCGGTTATATTATGGATTGTTATTATAAAAAAAAATAGTGAGGATTGATTGTCAAAAGCAGTCAAAATATCGTCCGACCCAGACATGTGCCTGCACCAACAACGAATTAATATTCACAATCGCATTACGATAAAGTCTACTTTCCATAACCTGTGAAAATCAAGGCTTAGAGAATGTTCATCATTAATACAGGAGGGGGGCTGGTATGAAATGTGTGTGTGTGTGTGTGTGGGGGGGGGGG